TTTTACCATGTGCTTGCCCCTTATTTATAACAACACAACATAATTTATGTATAAAACAAACCATTTTAACTGTCACCTCTAATTCTTAAACATAACTATTATTTTTGAATAGTAACCTTCCAAGCTTAAATTTCAAATATATGTTTTAATGGTTATAATAATAGATAAATATAACTTTATCTGTTTTTATAAGCCTGTTTCTTTCTGTTAATCTTCATAGCCATCATTTTAAATGATTATTTTCAGTGCAAACATTTTTAATGAGTATAGGAAACTTTAGATAAATAAAAATAAAATCAATATTATATAAACAAAAAATTTACATATCATAACATGAATACATAAATATGATGATTAGTTTTCTGTGCTGTAGTGCTATAATCATATAGTATGGTTCTTTTAAATCAGAGATAGTTGGAAGTCAAGATATTTTGTTTAAAAGGACAGCTTTTTAGATATTTGTTTCCTTTAAAATTTTTTATTATAAAGTATATAAAACCTAAAATTTGCCATTTTTAGTACAAAAGTCAGTGGCAGTAATTACATTCAGAATGTTTTGCAACTATCACTACTATTTCCAAAAATTTTAATCATCCCAAACAAGAATAGCTTTTTAATACACTACTTTTAGAAGTACTACCGTGTTTCCCCGAATCTCCCAAAATAAGACATCCTCCAAAAATAAGACCTAGCGCATGGAAAGATAAGACATCCCCTGAAAATAAGACCTAGCGCAACTTTGGGAGAAAAATTTAATATAAGACACTGTCTTATTTTCAGGGAAACAGGGTATAATATCTTATAAATACATTCATAGTATTCTAAGTAGTGATAATGAGTATTTTAGTAATGTATGATATTTTCAGAGAGAAGAAAAAATGAGAAAAATTCTGAATCCCAATAAAGTGTAGATTTTGAAATAATATGGATGGTAATTTTTTCACTGTTTATAATGACTTTCTAACAGTTATATCACTAGGGGGGATTGTTTGGGGTTATTTTGTTGTTTTCAGAAAAATATCGTTAGGGTTACCCTTTGCACTCCGAACCATTCTGGACATTGGCTACCAGCTACTCTCGACGCTACTTTGCGGCGGAAACGTGCATTTACAGACCCTCATATTATTTAGTATAATTTTGGAACCAAGTAACGTATTATAATGATATTGGACTTAAATGAATTGGGTGACATCGAGGAATGTGTATTTGCAAAAAAAAACACATTTTATTGTTTATAATTTTGTACAGTATAAGTTTCTAATTGTTATTACTAACTGACAAGATGATATTTACCAAAATAGCTTTCACCAAACAATTTATTCACTAAGGAAAGAATCACTTTTCCGATTTTCTCACTCGTTAGATCTATGTGCCCTGCTCGAAGCTTCAAACCAAAATGCGCTCAGCTTTGAAAATCTTTTCCTCCAGATGCAGACTTGTCTATTTGTAATTATATATCTACTATACAGTGCGCGCTATGTTCGAAAACCGACCTTTCTTCCACAAACTCCCTTATCGCTCTTTTCAAGTGGCGTCGCGAAGTGCTCTGACCGTCGTGAGCACGCATCTCACGTTCTCGGCCGACACAAAACCCGCTGACATTTCTTGTATATATCTCAGTAATTTTACGATATTTTGATTTAATTTCTTGTGCCATTTCAAGATAAAACTTCAGGGAAACATGCATGTCTCAAAAAGTTGCGTTGAAATAAGTCAATTCCTCGTAATCACTAATAAACTGCAATGTCCCCTGAGAGGGGACATCCGAGTGATATGCTAGAATTCCGATGTCCCCTGAGAGGGGACAGCGGAGTGCAGAGGGTTTTTAAAATTAACTGTCTTTAAAAAAAGAACTATGATTATTTTTAAAATATATGCCTCCATTTACATATGAGGAATTTTCATATTTTTTTATTTTATCCCATTTCTTTATTCCATTACCTGATCTGTTGTTGATCATCCCATTTTCTCCCCCATAAAAATGAGGCCTGTAGTTTTTATAGCAATTTATCAATAAGTACTAGCTATCTTAATATAATATTATTTTAGGATTCTTAGAACAGAAATTTTTTATTGATAGTGATATTTGATTCATAGTTTTTCTACTTAAATATAGCCACAAGCAATCTTATAAAATAAAATGATGTGGTATCTTTTGCTACATTCTTAACCTCAAAATAAGAATAAAGAGATAAGCCGAAACCGGTTTGGCTCAATGGATAGAGCGTCGGCTTGGGGACTGAGGGGTCCCAGGTTGGATTCCAGTCAAGGGCATGTATAATATATTGGTTGCAGGCATATCCCTGGTGGGGGGTGTTGCAGGAGGCAGCTGGTTGATCTTTCTCTCTCATTGATGTTTCTAGCTCTCTATCCCTCTCCCTTCCTCTCTGTAAAAAAAAAAAAAAAAAAATCAATAAAATATATTTAAAAAACAAGAGATAAGAGATAAAACATTGTCTAACTTAAGAGTTAGACAACTTTGCAAATTGGTTTGTAAAATGAATTAAGTTAATTAATAGAGGGAGAGGCATAGGCTGTTAACCTGTTTTAGAAATGCAATAGGAGGACTACGGTGAGGTGATAGTGGGTTTTGGGGCTGGAGGAGGGTATAAAGGAGATACATGGGGATAGACGGAGACCTGAGTTGGTGTGGTGAACACACAATACAATGTACAGATGATGTGCTGTAGAATTGTGCACCTGAAACCTGTATAATTTTGTTAACCAATGTCACTCCCAATGAAATAAATAAATGAAAAAAATAAATGCAGTAGGACAAAGTAGAATAAAAATTATGTTGGATTAGACATTAAGTGCTAGATAAACTACATTTGAAGTTTTTGAGCTAGAACAGTTTCCCTACAAGTGAAAGAGAAATTTTTAAATCCCTTACTAAAGTGATGTTAAGTATGTGAGTGCAAGAGTCATTTGGAGCCTCCCTTTTGCCATATTTGTCTAATGTATCACATATCAGGCTGATTACTATTTTCAGCAACAGTATTCATGACTGAAACCCTACAGTTAACCTTTAGAAGAGCAAAAGGAAATATACTCTTTAAAAAGGTGACCCTAACGTACACATATTTCTATCTTTCTGCTTTATTGCTTGCATGTTTAAGCAGCTTTTTTTTTTTTTCATTTGTTGTGTAGAATTACTAAGTGTGCGTTTAAAGATCAAAGTCATCTTAGGATGGTAAACTAACATATCAGGAATAGGGCATAGCTAAATAATTTGGCAGCAGTAATTTTAAAGTATTTTAACATAGAGGGTGAGACAGCTATTGCTAATTGAAATTGTATAAAACTTAATCATTTTAAAAGGTTTTCAGCTTGAGATCAGTACTGAAAACTATGTATCTTTAGTCAGAGTTGTATTTACATTTTAAGTAAACTTTTTTATTATAAGTACTGAATGTATTCATTGTGTACTTATGTATCTTCCTGGATCAGTAGAATACCTTTCTATACTGTTAGTGTTTAATGTGATTATTCATATTCTGTTAAATATTAAATTTTCCAAAAATGTTTCTTGCCTTTTCAAATAGTAGATTTTAGTAGTTATTGTTTTCCATTGGAGATCTGTGGCTTTTTTCTAAGCCTCTTTAGAAAATGTATTTTGTAAACTCAAAATGGATACAGGACTTAAACATCAGACGGGAAACCATAAAAATACTAGAAGCATCCGCAGGCAGCAAAATCTCAGACGTATGCCAAAAGAACTTCTTCACTGATACTGCCCCTAGGGCAATGGAAGCTAAAGAGAAAATAAACAAATGGGACTACATCAAAATAAAAAGTTTTTTTACAGCAAAAGAAACCATCAACAAAACAACAAGAAAGCCCACGGTATGGGAGAATATATTTGCAAATAATACCACGGATAAAGGTTTAATCTCCAACATCTACAGACAGCTGATACAACTAAATAAAAGGAAGATGAATGATCCAATTAAAAAATGGGCAATGGACCTAAATAGAATATTTACAAAAAAAGACAGAAAGAAGGCCAAAAGGCACATGAAAACATGCTCAAAGTCACTAATTATCCGAGAGATGCAAATCAAAACAACAATGCGGTACCATCTCACACCTGTCAGAATGGCCAACATCAACAAATCAACAAACGACAAGTGTTGGCGAGGTTGCGGAGAAAAAGGAACCCTCGTGCACTGCTGGTGGGAATGCAGACTGGTGCAACCACTGTGGAGAACAGTGTGGAGTTTCCTCAAAAAACTGAGAATGGAACTCCCATTTGACCCAGTAATCCCACTTCTTGGAATATATCCCAAGAAACTAGAAACACCAATCAGAAAGGATATATGCACCCCTATGTTCATAGCAGCACAATCTACAATAGCCAGAATCTGGAAACAGCCGAGGTGCCCGTCAGCTGATGATTGGATCCAAAAACTTTGGTACATCTACACAATGGAATACTATGCTGCCATAAAAAAGAAGGAATTCTCATCATTTGCAGCAACCTGGATGGAATTGGAGAACATCATGCTGAGTGAAATAAGCCAATCAATGAAAGAGAAACACCACATGACCCCACTCATTTGTGGATAATAAAGATCATTATAAACTGATGAACCAAAAGATAGATATAGAGACAGTAAAGCAACAAGCAGATTGTCAAATTACAACGGGGAGGGGAGGAGGGTCTGGGGGAGACAATAAATCAACCCAAGGACTTGTATACCTGCATATAAGTACAACCAATGGACATAAAACTCTGGGGAGGGAGGGGATACATGGGAGGGAAGGAGGGGGGCAAAAAAAAATCAATAAAATATGTAAAATAAAAAAAATAAATAAATAAATAAATAAAAAAAAAAAAAAAAAAAAAAAAAAAAAACAAAATAAAGATTTTCAACTACAAAAAAAAAAAAAAAAAAAAAAAAAAAAAAAAAAAAAAAAAAAAAAAGAAAATGTATTTTGTTAGAGACAGTGAAATATATTGAGCTATAGCTGACACTGTTTTGTTTTTGCTTTTTCAGGTGGTTGAACAGGGTATGTTTGTGAAGCATTGCAAAGTAGAAGTATACCTCACAGAATTGAAGCTCTGTGAAAATGGAAACATGAACAATGTTGTTACTCGAAGATTTAGCAAAGCCGACACAATAGGTAATGCAAGTTCTGTTAAATCATTGCCATTAAAAATTTAATTATAATTCTATTTGTTAAATGTTACTAGGATGATAACGATTATAAGGGTCTGTATTTAACATTATAGATTTCCAAGCTTGATGCAATATGTCTTAGCTTAATGTTGAATTATTTATGGTTTCTAAATTCACTTTACATTATTAGATGAATTTAATATTTGTGTCATTTTACTTTTTTAAAAACATCAAATCATTTATTTTGAGTTTAGCATTTGAAAATGTATATTTTGTTTGTAATAGGATTATAAAGACCTTTTAATGATGAGTAGATTAGGAAATTAAAGTTTCCAATAAAAGTGTACCTAACTCCCTTTATATTTTTCCTAGAGACCTGGTACAGAAATTTGTGCAGTGTGTGTGGGGGAGTGTCCCTCAGCCCAGCCTGCACCCTCTCCAATCTGGGACCCCTTAGGGGATGTCTGACTGCCAGTTTAGGCCACAGGGATCGGGCCTAAACCAGCAGTCGTACATCCATCTCACAATCCAGGACTGCTGGCTCCCAACCACTTGCCTGCCTGATTGCCCCTATTTGCCTGCTCACCCCTTAACCACTCCCCTGCCGGCCGATTGCCCCCAACAATCCATCCCTCCCAGCCTGGTTTCCCCCAACTGCCCTCCCCTCCAGCCTGGTTGCCCCCAACTGCCCTGCCCTGCTGGCCCTGTCGCCCCCAACTGCCCTCCCAACTAAATAGCCTTATATATATCCATAGTCACCATTTCACTTAAATGAAGCATTTTACATTTCTTTAATGTATCCAAATTGCCAGCATCACTATTCGTGCACTCTGGGGCCATTATTAAATAAAATAGGGTTATTTGAACACTACAGTACTATGGCAGTTGTGAATGAGTGACTGATAGTAGATAGCATATCCAGCATAGATGTGCCATACAAAGGAATGGCTCACGTCCATGGTAGGACAGAGCAGAGAGCTAAGATTTCATCCTGCTAATCAGAACACAGACAATTTAAAATTTATGAATTGCGTTTTTCTAGAATTTTCCATTTAATATTATTAGACCACAGTTGACCACAGGTAGCTTAAACTGCAAGAAATAAAACTGCGGGATTGGGAGGGGAGACCTACTACTGCCTATAATATTACATTAACCATGACATTAAAATCTGTACAGTAAAAATCTATAAATCTATCCCAGGAGTATAGTCTATTAAAATTAATTCAGCTGGTTTGGCTAGGTGGGTAGTCAGCCTGTGGACTGAAGGGTCCAGGGTTTGATTCCAGTCAAAGGCACAAGCCCCATTTGTGAGGTCAGTCCCCGGTAGGGGGTTTGCAGAAGGAAGCTGATGGATGATTCTCATTAGTGTTTCTTTCTCTCCCTTCCTCTCTGAAATCAATAAAAATATATTTAAAAACAAACTATTTAAATTGTAAATTATATTTAATATTAATTGACCTGAAAGTAGTTATAACTAAAAATACTTTCCATTTGTAACATCTCTGAGTCATACTATATTTTCTAACTCCTACATATCAGAAAAATTGTTGATTTTATAATATATAAATAGTTAAAATTTAAGCTATATGACATAAATTATACTTTGGTGTTAATATGATTGAACTCCTTTACCTTTTGAGGTCTCAATTTCCCTACCTAAGTAATCATCTGTCAGCATTAAAAAGCACACCTGGTCTTAAAAATCTTGTTTATTGTGGAGTATTTTACATATTTTTTTTTTTACATATTCGTTCACCTATTCTTATATCAGTATTTTAAATTTGGGACTTTTATGCTGGTGATCACTTAGGTCTACGTGGCATATATTTAATACTATATTTACATATCTTTTCTCCTTAAATCTAGATACAATTGAAAAGGAAATAAGAAAGATCTTCAATATTCCAGATGAAAAGGAGACCAGATTGTGGAACAAATACATGAGCAATACATTTGAACCACTGAATAAACCAGACAGCACCATTCAGGATGCTGGTTTATACCAAGGACAGGTATTGTTTACTAATACTGTTTATTTTAAGCATACCAAACGTGAAGCTTTCATGAGTCACAAACTTTTTGGACATCCTGAAATCTATCGGGGTCCTATTGGCTCTCACTTCTTTTTTCTAACTCATATCTTCCTTGTCCTTGCTGGACACTTAACAATAACTTCTGTTTCCCTCTTTGAACTTGAATATAAAAAGAAAAAAGTTTTCATTAAAAAAAAAAAGCAGCTAAATAAGATGTGTCAGTCAACTTTCTATAAAGGATTAAATTACTGAATATTTTTGGTTCAGCCATCTCTATGATCTCATTCACAACTATAACTCTGCCATTGTTAGTATAATGAAAGTAATGATAGAGAGGATATGTAAAAAATTGGAAATGGCTATGTTCCAACAAACTATTTACAAAAGCTGTCAGTAAACTGAATGAACTATAGTTTGCCAGCTCCTGCTAGAAGGTATCAAGCCCCTATTTGTTCTTTTTTAATGATATAGTGCAGAGAAATGAATATGTTGAAAATAAAGACATTTAAATAGTGTCAGCAAATTCTACGGATTCTGCCTTCTAAATATTTCTTTGATCTCTGTGTCATTCCCAGCCCTTATTTAACAGCTTTCTCTGTTCCAGTGTTTTGCATATCCACTTTCAATCTTCCATATTTCTGTAATAGACTATAAAAACAGTTTTATGATACTTTAGCCATTATATTCTGAAGTGAAATCTTAAATTTTTAATATGTAATACAATTAAAAGTAGAGTTATTTGGTTAAAGCTGGAGTGAGGAAGTTGGAACTCTACTAATTCATCAACACTCCCCTCCCTAACCAGCCAACTCTCTTTCTTGTCTATCAATAGACCGCCAACTCTCTTCTTTGTTACCATTTATCAGTCCTTGAGGTAGCTCTGAGGGACAATTTTAAATATGTAGTTTTATTTCATTAACTATTTTCAGTGATTGGTCCTGTGTAATAACTATTGTTCTTTTTATTATGTACATTAAAAAGTCTGAGACTTTAAGAATTAAAATAATTTGATGTTCTTGCTAGGAATGCATTTATCAGATTTTGAAATAGAAATGTTTCCCAAAATGTGCATTAAATTTTCCAGATTTTAGCCCTAGCCAGTTTGGCTCAGTGGATAGAGTGTTGGCCTGCAGACTGAAGGGTGGCATGTTCAATTCCCATCAAGGACACATGCCCAGGGTGTTCAGGAGGCAGCCAATCAATGATTCCCTCTCATCATTGATGTTTCTATCTATCTCTCTCATTCTCCTTTCCTCTGAAATCAACAAAAGTATTTTAAAAATATATTTTTCTAGACTTTATAAATTCTTTTCTAACTACTGATAAACTAAACACTATCCTGAACTTTTAATGTATTTATTTATTTTTTATTAAAATTGAAAATACCCTTATTAGGAAGTGAAACAAAGATATATTATTGAAAAGTTTGCTCCCCAAAATGAGTGGTCCTTATCTTTATTGTGTGTGTGTGTGTATTGTGTGTGTGTGTGTGTGTGTGTGTGTGTGTGTGTGTTCAGTTGCTTAGTTTTTATATTTTGCTTCTTAAATGTTTGTCTTCCTTGACTAGCTTTGGAATCAAAATGCAAATATCTCTTCACCTTGTATACTGTGCTTTAATTAATCACAGGGTTACTTTAGTTTCTTAGTGAATTCAGCTAATCTTTTAAAACTATTTTTAACTTTGGGGTTAAGACAAACTTAACTGTGTCATATTTGTAGGTGTTAGTGATAGAACAGAAAAATGAAGACGGAACATGGCCAAGGGGTCCTTCTACTCCTAAGTAAGTGCTCCCAGTTTTTATGGCATATTACATGATTTAGAAGCCTTTGATTTGAGATGAAATCCAGAATGATAGATAAATCTAATTGTATGTTGTATGTACCTTCTTTATACTTTAATTTTTCACTCAGTATAGAGGTTATCTAAATTTGCATTTATATTAATATGCTATTACTAAAAAGTCTTCCAATTCTAATCTTTTATAGAATGAGGTGTAATATAAATGTTATGTTATATTGTCTAATACAGTTAAATCACTATTAAACATTTTCTTTAATATTTTGTTTCAGGCTTTTGATATTTCTCAAGTGTCTGTTAAAAATGTTCTTTATCACAATGATTTTGATGTGAAAGTATAAAACATGTTTAAAAATATTTTGATGTGAAAGTATTTTTATTAAAACATGTTTAAAAATATTCTTTACTGCTATGATTTCGATGTGAAAGTATTTTTATTAAAACATGTTTTAGAATATGAAAGCATAAGAATAGATACATGAGTATAAGAATTGCTTTTGCCGAGACCAGTTTGGCTCAATGGATAGAGCGTCGGCTTGGGGACTGAGGGGACCCGGGTTCGATTCCGGTCAAGGGCATGTACCTTGGTTGCGGGCATATCCTAAGTAGAGGGTGTGCAAGAGGCAACTGATCGATGACTCTCTCTCATCGATGTTTCTAGCTCTCTATCTCTCTCCCTTCCTCTCTGTACAAAATCAATAAAATATATTAAAAAAAAAAAAAAGAATTGCTTTTAACTGTAAATGAGGGCTGAAAAAAAAATAGAAATCTTTTTAAACATTTTTTAAACTGTGGTAAGATCTATCCTCAAAACAATTTTTTAAATTCACAATACAGTGTTGTTAATATAGGCATATTGTTGTACAGCAAATTTTTAGAATTTATTCATTTTGTACAACTGAAACTTTATTCCTGTTGAACACTATCTTTCCATTTCTTCCTTCCTCCAGCTACCATTTTACTTTGTTTTCATGAGTTTTACTAGTTAGATACATCATCTAATTAGAATTATGCAGTATTTGTCCTTCTGTGAAGTTAATTTTACCTAGCATAGTATCCCCCAGGCTTATCCATCTTATCTCACAGGGCAGGGTTTTCTTTTCTTTTTAAGACTGAATAGTATTCCATTCTCTGTGTATACACATTTTCTTTATTCGTTCATTTGTTGATGGAAGTTTAGGTTATTTCCATATTTTAGCTATTGTGAATTGTACTGCAATGAACAAGGGAGTGCAGATATTTCTTCAATATACTGGTTTTGGTTCTTCTGGATATATGCCCAGAAATGAGATTTCTGGATAATATTGTATTTCTATTTTTAATTTTTTAAGGATCTTTCATACAGTTTTCTATAGCAGCTGGATTATTTTACATTTTCACCAATAGCATACAAGGATTTTAATTTCTCATCCTTGTTAACACTTATCTTTTTTTCTTTTGCTAATGGTATAAGGAGTTAATGTTGTGGTTTTGATTTGCATTTCTACTATGATTACTGATACTGAGCATCTTTACCTGTTGACCACTTGTATGTGTTCTTTGGAGAAATGTCTACTCGAGTCATAGGCCCATTTTTTTTATCTGTTATTTGGTTTTTAGCTATTGAATTGTAGGGGTTCAGGTATGTGGTATAAAGATTTAAAAATAAAGCCTGAATCCATAAAACTTCTAGAACTTAAGGCAAATGCTTAATGACATTGGTCTTGTAAGTGATTTTTTTATTATGACACCAAAAGCATAGGCACAAAAGCAGTAATAGATGGGACTATATCAAACTAAAAAGTTTGTCCACAGTAAAAGAAACAATCAAGCCCTGGATGATGCAGCTCGGTTGGAACATCATTAGGTGCACCAAAGGGTTGCTGGTTCAATTCCCAATTCAGGGCACAATGCCAAGGTTGCAGATTCAATCCCTAATTGGGGCATATACAGGAGACTACCAATTAATGTTTCTCTCTCTTATTGATGTTTCTCTATGTCTTCCCCCTTTCCTTTCCTTTCTCTAAAATTAAAAAAAAATTATAAGAAATAAACAATTAACATAGTAAAAAGATAACATACAGGATAGGAAAAATATTTTGAATGGTTTTAGAATGATCAGTTCCTCACTCCATTGTCAAAAACACTTAGAACATGGCTGGTGTGGCTCAGTATTTGAGCATCAAACCATGAACCAAGCGGTTGCAATTTGAAACACATTTGTGTTTCTCCTCCCTCCCTCCCTCCCTCCCTCCCTCCCTCCCTCCCTCCCTCCCTCCCTCCCTCCCTCCCTCCCTCCCTCCCTCTTTTTTTTCTTCCATCCTTCTTTCTCTCCTTCCCTTCCTTCCTTTCTGAAATCAGTAAAGATATATTAAAACACACACACTCTTAGGGCTAGTTATATTTTTTAATGTTTTTATTGACTTGTGTGAGAAATATCTATTGGTGCCTCCTGCATGCCCCCCTATTGGGGGTGGATCCTGCAACTCAGACATGTGCCCTGACCAGGAATTGATACATGGGAGGAAACTCAACCGAATGAGCTACACCAGCCAGGACAGGGCTACTTGTATTTTAATATTCAGATTTCTTATACCTTTGAGGAGAAAATATGGTACAAATGCCTCCTATTATTTTATATTTCAGTAGAGTCCAGGGTATCTGTCATAATCAAATACATTAATATTCAGCAAATATTTATACTTGATATGATAAATAAGGACCATAAATATCCTCATATTGGTTAGATTACCCTCAAATGAATTGTGAAAATATTTTTTAAGTTTTCAGAGATTTGGGAATTCTAGGTTTTTTAATAAGAGATTGTGGACCTGTATTTTAAAATGCTTAAAATAATGGTTCTCCAATAAGTTAATGATATTTCATATTTGCTAACCTAGTAAATAAAAGAGAAGAGTGACCTGGTACTTAATTTTCTTCAAACTAAAATGCACCTTTCATTACCTTTTTTATCTTATGTAAAGTTATTCTATTTAAATTTCATGAGAATGTGCCTGAGTATATTACAATTTATTTTTATTCCACTTAGTTGCATATAATACAGGGTTAGAACTTAACATAAGAAGATTATAAAAGCACATAGTAGAATTGTGTAGATTTTTTGATTGATGAAGTTTTAGAAGTTAGGAATAATTTCTTTGTGAATATTCACATTTAATCTCTAGATTAGAATTAGTATTGTTCTTTGCTAGTTTATCTTTAGATTGTTATACATGTTTTACTAGAGGCCCGGTGTATGGATTCTTGCACCGGTGGGGTCCCTCAGCCTGGCCTGTGCTCTCTCCGGGACCTCTCTGGGGATGTCAGGCTGCTGGTTTTAGCTCAATCCCTGCAGGCAAGTCCGAGGAACCCCACCGGTGCACCAATTCGTGCACTGGACCTCTACTATGCATATAAGATCTTTGGTTAGTCTCTTTCCAACCTCCCCCTTTCCTTCTGAGATTCATCAGTCTGTTCCATGTTTCCATGCCTGTGCATTGGGCATCTGCCCCCTGATGGTTAGTGCATGTCATAGCAAATAGTTTTAAATAATTCTTGATACTACAAAATTGTTTGTGGGTTAATATAAAAGCACCATGAATTCCAAAGATTTGGGAGATATTTTCAACTTAAAATTACAGAATTTCACAGATAGAAACTAATTATATATTTTCTTTTATAATCTCTATGTGCTAATACAATACCATTTTTATTTACTTAAACAGTTGTAGTAATTGTTTGTAAGGAAAAACACAATTTCTTACATAATACCTCACACAATACACATGTAATAAATATTGCTGAAAAAAGGAACTGCAGTAGAGATGCATGGAAGTACAAGTCTCATTTTTCACTGAATCAAACAATTTAATAGGGAATCCATATATTAAAGCCTGAAGAGGTAAGTATCCATTCTTTATACAATATGAGAAATACATATAACAGTATGTCATGAATTGTCAACTGAGAGTTTATTAGAATACAAAATTTTTAAAAATTATCACCTGTATATGAAAAGACTCTCAGAAACTAAAAATAAAGAGAAATTTTGCTAATTTGATAAAGCCTTAAATGCTCAAAATCCATAGTAAACATATTTAATGTTAACACTTTCCTTAGTTATAGCTTCTAAAGTACAACTTGATTAAATTGTATTATTAAGTTTTTTTCTTTCTGGTTTCATTTAGATATAGTTATTTCAAAGAATGCCTTTGACATTACTAACATTATAGAAATAAGTTCTAAATTTTGCTGAAATAAGTAAAAATTCCTCTTCTGAGAATAGCATGAAAGTTTATTTAACTCAAACATTTTCACTGATCGCTTAAAAATATTCACAAAAGCCATGTATATAAGTATTTGGTGGAAAGTCAAGGGTCATTGATGATTGTGTCTTGGCAATTTTCATGGGCTAGAAAACAACCAAAGAAGAAACCAAAATTAACCAGATAAGGAATGAGAGGCTGAAAAAAATCAAATGGAAAACTAAGCCAGTAGCTCTTAACTCATTCATTGTCCCTCTATCACTGTGTTCTGACTAACAGAATTCCAATTTGATGACTGAAACACTAAGCATAAACTTAATCTAGTGCCACATTAATATTTTTGCAGCACTCTCCCTGAGTGTTCTGCCTGGAGAGATGAAGCACTTTATAAATTAAACCATTGCGTACTACTCTTGGTTAGGATAAGAATATTTTCAGGTGACTGAAATAATTCTGTTTCTGTGTTTTTACACTATCTGTTTCAATATTGTACCTATTTAAATGCAAGTAGAAAAACTTACCATATATGTCTTTAAATTTTTAGAGAATAATTATGTACAGTCCTCTATAATAAAAGTGTAGTATGCAAGTTATCCCCTCTACTAGGAGTACGACCAGGGGTCCGGGCTGGCCGGGGGAGAGGGCAGCCCCGGCCGGCAGCGGCTGGGAACCCTGCCAGTCCGTGGACTGACTTCATGCACTGGGCTTCTGATTTGTACATGTAATTGCTGTAGATTAA